AGCAGTGTCAGGAGACACTGAAAAAAATGAGTATAAAAATTGAGTATGTACCCATCAGCTTGGGTTTGGTGGTCGCCACAGCTCTTTGTAACGCTCCCCTTTCCTCTCTAGCTCGGTGCAGGATACAGGCAGGACCTCAAGCTTCCCTTGGAGACCAGACTCCGGGAATTCCTGTGCCCTGATTTCCATGGGGGTGAAGGCATAAGGAGAGCTGGGATGGTAAGTCAGTATGTGGTGTTAGGAGGTGAGTTTTCACCATAGTTAAAATCAGGTACAGGTTTGCTGAGGAGAACAAGAGGAGCCCAGTCCCTGTTCTCTGCTCCCCTTCTTTAATCCACACTCCTGCTCCTCACCTCCAGTGCTCAGAGGTGACCCTCCTAAAACAGCCCTGCAGGCTTTTTTTTAGTTTATGGCCCTGTCCTTTGCGTAAGGAGGTCTGCATAAAGCAAAGGAGACTTGTGCAATTGCATTCTCCAGCTGCTCTATGCACCCCATTACAAACAATTCCTGCTCTCCCTAACACAACGCACCTGAACATCAGTACAGGGGAAGGAGTGATGTATTACCCTCAGGTAGTGCAGCACATCCAGAATTACATGGTCTCCAAAGAGGAGAGCCAGTTTGCTGAAGTGCCATATCCACAGGAGTAGGATCTTACAGGAGTTCCGAGGCAAGTGAAGGCTTATGAAAAACTGGAGTTTCTCAAAATACCGTTACAGGTGCCTTTATGCTTAGGAAAGAGACACAACAACATAGAAAGTTAGGGAGTCTCATTAAAATATTGGGAAAAATTTTTGTAGAACAACATTTCATGGCTAATGCTGTTCTGGTGTTTCTAAAAAGAAAGGAATAAAACCTTATGCGACACCGCAGGGTTTCAGTGTGACTTGTAGACCTTGTTCTCAAGTGAGCTGGGTTTTTTGTGATTGCTGCAAATGCTTCAGTAAGGTTTCAAGACAGGACTGGGAGGAAAACAAAATCTGTTTGGGCCAACATCTGGATGAGTGTGTGTGTGTAAATGTGCATACACACACACCACGCTCCCCCCTCAGAGCGAGGCACCAAGATCAAGCAGCTGCTAAAACCTAGTAAGTGAATAAATGGAGAGTTACAGATGGGATGGAAAAGGTATGTGGGGAGGAAGAATCCATGAACAGACTTCCATTTCCAAAGTGGTAACAGTCTTTTATGAAGAGCTGAGGTGAAGAGGAGAGTCATGAGGTGATACAGATCTGAGGATGACCACAAATACAGATACAGCTAGACACGATTTATCTTTTCATTCTGAACAGGAATGTAGAATTCACTTTCTAAAAATAATGTTTCACCAGTTCCATGGTGACTCCAGCTTTCAGGGTTCGGCCAAGATGATGAAGAGATCATCCCGCTTTTCCAGTAGACAGATTTTTAAGCTTTTTCTTTGCTCCCCAAACATGCTGTCATTGTTCTCTGGTCCAAACCCCATTCCTTCTGTTGTGGTTTAACCCCAGCCAGCAGCTAAGCACCACACAGCCCCTCACTCACTCCCCCCCCCGTGG